CAGAACCGCTCGTTGAGCAGCGTGGGTCGCAGCCGTGCTGTGCTGCTGCTGGTGGCTCTTCTGCTGTGCCAGGTCAGTCGCCTGCTGTTTCGCTCTGCTGAGGTCTTATTGATGTTTTTGCTGTCTATAAACTATTTATTAATTTATTCATTTATTTTTTACTGTATGTATGAGGGCATAGAGCAAAAATATAAATGTTACGCATACCGATCTGCATCAGGCGTTCCCAACCTGGGTTATAATTCTCGAGGGGAGTCTGAGAGTATGACAGTATGACCGGTGTGTATGCCAGGGCTGTCAAACACGTAGCCCTTGGAACATTTGCTCGTTCAGTCTCACGGTCGGCCGTTTTACAGATTACCTAAGCCGGTCTCTCGTCTTTTATGTGTGTGTGTGTGTGGTCCTATATATGAATTTAGATATGTATAATCTCCTAATTACTTACACTTTTTTAAGCAGCGATTACGGAATGTAGTACATGAATATTCAGAGAAGTTTCACATGACTTCCCTCAGTAATTGTTAGAAGTTAATTCCTAATTCTCCTACTTAAGGAAAAGGAAAGAACTAGCAGTCTCTACCTTTTGTTTGTTTGCTCTTCCTCTCCTCGTATTGTTTCATACATCGTGGTGGCTAATAATCTGTTAACTGTGTATATTATATATACAATATATATGCTCGCGCGTTTGTGTATACTCCACGTGTGTATGGATAAACTATATATGTATATGTGTGTACATTCTGTGTGTATGTGTGTATGTTGTGTGTAAATATGTGTATATGTGTGTATGTTGTGTGTAAATATGTGTATATGTGTGTATGTTGTATGGATACACACACACACACACACACACACACACATATATATATATATATATATATATATATATATATATATATATATATATATATATATATATATATATATATATATATATACACATTAGTACTGTATGTTACATATGTCTTTGTTTATGTATACTCTATACAATCATATATATTAGTATACATATATGTATATACGGTATGTTACATGTACGCCTATACTTTATATTACACACGTCTTTATTCATGTATACTCCATACAATCGCGTACATCTATATCTGTATATACTGCATACTAATCTGCACCCCCCCCCACCACCACCACCACACCAGGAATCCTCGGGCAGCTTCATCAAGCTTCGCCCAAATACCCTGCGCGAGTTCCAATTCCTCCAGTGCCGCGGCGACTACGACAAGGAGCGCTACACTGCCCTCAGCCGCGTCTGCGATGACTGCCACAACCTGTTCCGACAGCCACAGGTCATGACGGAGTGCAAGTGAGTGTACTCTTTTGAAGGTATAGGTGTGTGTGTATGTGTGTGTATGTGTGTGTATGTGTGTGTGTTTGTGTATGTGTATGTATGTGTGTATGTGTGTGTGTGTGTGTGTGTGTGTGTGTGTGTTGTGTGTGTGTGTGTGTGTGTGTGTGTGTGTGTGTGTGTGTGTGTGTGTGTGTGTGTGTGTGTGTGTGTGTGTGTGTGTGTGTGTGTGTGTGTGTGTGTGTGTGTGTGCGTGTGTGTGTGCGGGGTCAAAGGTCACAGAAAGGTGGGCTGAGGGGAAGAGAGGAAGAAAGGGCGGATGAATCAAGGAGATATAGATAAAGAAGGAGGAGGATAATAGTGTGGGAGGAATTGAGAGAGAGGAAAGAAGGAGACAGAGAGGCGCTGCGTGCAAGAGCGTGGACATTTAAAAAAGAGAGAGAACATCTTCAAGGAAGGACATTCAGCTTTCAAAACGCCATTAGAGATTTGCTAAAATCTTATAAATCGTAAGATACTTTCTCTTTGTATAATGAAAACGATCTAGGTCAAAGATTTTATTTTTTTTAATGGAGAGGTGTAACTTATAGGGGAAAATGAGCTCAAGGGGGTGGGACACGGCATTATCGAGATTTGGGGAATTCAGTACATTCAGAATGCTTGAATTATATCGTGCTAGCAAAACGTTCGTACTTAAACTTTTAGCAGAATTACCAAGGTCATTACTTTCCATCCGTTCCTTCCATCCCAACTAAATACTTTTTCCTTTTCTCCCTTTCTCAGGTCGAACTGCTTCCGCAACTCACTCTTCCTCACCTGCGTCAATCTCCTCAAGCTGGAACACCTCGAGGACGACTTCAAGAATAATATCATGATAGTCAGCGGAAACGAACTCTAAATCTCTTCAACTGGCGGACAACTCTCAAACAGTGTCGGATCCTGAACGCGACGGACTGGTGCCAGACTTCTTTATTATCATCATTGTATCGTTTTCTTATCTGATTGTCATCGTTGTGCTTTCTGAATGTCATTTATTGGTTTCAATTTTGCTAGGTCTAGAATTTATTTATTTACATATTGGTTAATCGGAAATTCCCTGTCAAAACTGTGTCGGATGTGATTTTTTTTAATCGCCATCTTGTTAGTATCAATTTATTCCTAAACCAAATTAGTTTAAATAAGTAAATATCACCGTAA